CCAGCAGTGCCGTGCGCTGGGAAGGCAGAGCCATATTCTGCCCCAGCACGGGCATCGCTGGGTCCTGGGCTGGTGAAGACACCACAGCTGGGGCATCGTCCGGAGGAGGAGGCTGGTCCTGGCTGCAGACCAGGGTGTCTGGACTCCGATCTGGGGGTTCAAGGTGAAGCCACGGTGCTGTCCCGGCCCTGGGAAGGTCTAGGGAGCTCATAAAGGCATCATAGCTGCATCTCCCAGAGGCATTTTTATTCCTCCTTTCCCTGAAGTCCTAAGTGTCATCCCAGCAAGGGTGACATCTGCTCTGCCACCCCCTTGCCTTGGTCCTTCCTCTTCCTCCTGCATCACTGCCAGGCCACCTGCATCACTGCCAGCACCAGCATCGCTATGGTCAAGCTGAGGACCCTCATATTAATCCCTAGCTGTAGATCTGAGTCTGACCTAACCGCGGCTCGGCACCCAGGCTCCCACCTAGCACAGTCTCAGCCCATCACCCTCTGCTCATCTCTGGACAGAAACTCCACGGTGCCGGCCGGCACGCAGAGCTGAGCTGTGCTGCCAAAGCCAGGCACCCAGGGAGAGCCGGGCCAGCCGCGAGGGACAGGAGCTGCGTGCTCCCCAGCTGCAGAGGGGGGAGAAGGAGGTTTAAACTGCCAAAGCCAGACCCAGACTTTAGGGTGGGATCCTCCCCCTGCACAGCAGACCTGGTCCCAGTGTCAGGGGTTCATCTGCCTTCAGTTATCTGTTCTTGCATTGGCTCATCTCTGTTGGCAGCAGAGGTGTCTCAGCTGGTGTTTGGGGACACGAATGTCCCCAAATGTTTGGGGAGACACTCTTGATCAGGGGTGGAGGGACAGGACGAGGGGAAACAGTTTGAAACTGAAAGAGGGGAGATGTGAGGAAGAAATATTTTCCTGTGCGGGGGGTGAGGCAGTGGCCCAGGTTGCCCAGAGAAGCTGTGGATGCCCCATCCCTGGAGGGGTTCAAGGCCAGGCTGGATGAGGCTTTGGGCAACCTGGGCTGGTGGGAGGGGTCCCTGCCCAGGGCAGGGGGGTGGAACGAGATGATCTTTGAGATCCCTTCCAACCCAAACCATTCCGTGATTCTGAGATTCTATGAAACCTGGCATTTATGAAAGCTGGTGAGAGCATCACACAAGGTCCCCAAGAGCCACCGGGGAGGTAAATCGTGATGGTTTGGCTGGGAATATGGGCTGGAGACTCCTCCATCTCACCTGGGTGATTTACCACCACGGGTTCACACACTGCAGCCTGTGTCTGGGCTTTGGAAGAGGAAAGTTTAACCCAGACGAGGTCCCAGGGAGGGTTCAGCATCTGAGTGCCCCGAATGCAGGCAGAGCCGGCAGGACCCATCTGTGCCAAGGTCCTACTGCAGCTCTCCAAGGCGACTCTGCTCTCCTGCTGCATCTCCCCCCCTGCACAGGAAAACATTTCTTCCTCACATCTCATCTCCATCTCCCCTCTTTCAGGTTAAAGCTGTTCCCCCTCGTCCTGTCCCTGCACCCCCTGATCCAGAGCCCCCCCATCTCTCCTGTACCCCCTTTCAGCACTGGGAGGTG